GAGTGTCTTTCGAAATTATAAACTCCAGGATCTTGAAAGAGCACGGAAATGAAAGGGACCTTTTGTAATAAGTGCAACTTTGTATAAAAAACAAGAACTGTACTCAGAGAAGCAAGATATAAAAAAGCTGATATATCTATAGTTTTCAGTTCATCTTAATAAGCAATTGAAATGTGGAATCTGAATGCCTCTGAATGATGCAAAAAGATTCATAAATCTGCCTGCTAGTTACAGTTGGAGAATTTTAAGACCCTACTTTTTTCAGTGTGTACCCGACATTAGATCAATGTCTATAATTTTGCACTTTGATGATGTGAAACAGAGGTATGAGGATTGTGACACAGACAAGGAAGAGAGTTACACTGAAGAAGAAATTGTAGCAAATAATTCCGTATTCTCCACTAAATCTCTTTTTCTTACTGCTTGTAAACTAAGAGACATAAATCACTCTAGCTGTTTATACCAACTCAAAAGATTGCCAAAACAGACAAAATCACCTGGGAAAAAACCCAAAACCAAATCTAACTGTTCACCCTCCAAAAAAAACCAATAACAGTTCTATTTTTTTCAGGTTATTAATACTGTCAGTTGACCCAGATTTTATATTTTGTTTAGGGTTGTTTTTTTAATTAAACACGATATATTAGCATAAGTATGACTTGTTTTCCATCTTAGTTTCTAGATTAATAGCTTGGATTCAGAACCAGCCTTCATGAAAGCAAACACAAACATATAGATAAGAACTGTACTGTACAGGAAAGTAGAAGACCATTTATGGTAAGAGGTATGTGATGCCTCTTCTCTATCATTTTGTCACTGTCTCAGTACCTAGAGAATCTTCATGCAAAGACAACTTAATTTTCACAGTTGCCTTCATGAGTTAGAGAATTACCTATGCAGAGCTGATAATTCATTTCTTAAATCCATTAAATTATCCACACCACAAATTCTGCCTCGGTGTTTGACAGAATCAAGAAATAACTAAAGAAATCAAGGGAAAAGGTTAAGCATTCATTTGCATTTATTATACAGCTCTCTAAACCAACATGAGTTTAAATAAGCATATTACATTCAACAGAAGAAAACTAATTTTGAAAAGACTGAGGTTCTCAAAAAGCTGGTATGGGGCACTGCTACAGAGAGACAGAAAATATTAAATTTATGACTAAAATCAGCGCAAGTATGTACACAAACAAAGGCAGAAGGCAGTCAATAAAAACCATCCCTCAGAAGTAATACTGAGAATAATAATTTTAAAATGCAAGTGTTTGCTTTTGTTTATTTGTTTGTCACTAGGTTAAGTTACCTTCAAATTCTTTGAGCATGTTCCACTCACTAGTGCTACAACGCCATCATCCGTTACCTAGAGAAAAAAACCACGTTGTTATTAAGACAATGCATTAAAGCTCAATTTTTTCAAACACAGCTATTTGGAAGGAAAAAAATTATATTAATTAATTCACTCCCTGCAGTCACTGAATACATTTAACATTACAGTATTTTCTTCCTAACTAAGCTTGTAGAGAAAATTGCCCAAGTATGTTTTCTTCAGTCTATTAAGCACTGATGCATTTTACTGCCATGTGATCCAGCCTGGCTTTCTACTGGGATGTTTCCAACCGTGTAACTGCTATTTCTGCAGCTTCCTTGTCTCGTTTAACAGTGGGTACACTATTACAGTCAGAGCATGGCACTTTGAATTTATAAGATTTAAAGCTCTTCTGCTCTACCTAGACCAATTTTTCCCCTGCTTTCAGGACTGCTGAAGGAAGTTTCACCAACAAAACACCAACAAACCAAAACCAAAAAATGGAATCATAGCAGTCTTTTATCTGCTGTCTTACTTTTACTTATCTTTAAGTAAATGTTGAAGGAAGTTGATGAGGCCTTCTACAGGCAGC